TTGCGCCCGAGCCGTCCCCTCGCACCCTCACTGGCCCCTTGCGCCCCATCTGGCCCCTAGCGCCCCCGTCTGCCCCTCGCACTCTAGCTGGCTCCTCGCGCCCCGGCTCCTGACGCGTGCTCTCCTGGCCCTAGCGCTTCGCTGGCCCTTTTTGTCCCACCGGCCCGGCACGCCTCCGGCCCTCCTCGGCAGCCTGCCCAGCTTCCCCTGCTGGAGCGCCCCTCCGCTGAGCCACCGTGTCACTGAGCCGCCATGCAGCCGAGCCGCTGAGCAACCGAGCCGCAGAGCCGCTGTGTAGCTGTGCTGCTGTGCCGCCGAGCTGCTGTGCCGCTGTCACACAGCGCGATGGCGGTGACGTTCCTCGCCTGGACGCTGAGGGGCACGCGATCGACTTCCCCGCCTGGCTCGTCGACCTCCAGCGGCACCTGACAGGTCAGCGCCAGGATGGACACTCCCTGGCTATGAATGTTGATGGCTTTCTCCCCCGCCCCCTGCACTTGATCCCCTCCCTGCTGACCCACGACTGCTGAGAGCGAGGCCTTTGCTGCTGCTGCTGCGCTTGCTCGCGCTGTCTGGGATTCTTGCGACGCTGTAGCGCAGCTTGCCATTAGCCATGCCCTTCCCCTTTCTGAGCGTCAGCGCTTTACCGCTGTCGCGAACGCCCAGGACTTCCTCGCTGCAGTAGTTGCGCATTACTCCATGCCTACTTCTGCCTCTGCAGGCCGCTTGATCCTACCCATGCTCTTCCCTCATCTTTCCGCTTTCCCTACTGTAGCTGACCTCGCTACCCACCTCCGTGCGCTAGAGACTAGCTACCGCACTGCTAGCACTGCCGCCCAACTCACTGCCTTCCCCCCACTGTTTTGCGCTACCCTGTACCTCATTGCCATGCGCCTGCCTGACCACTTAGCCACTGCACGCGACCACATCCTTTGTCAGCACCCTGCCGACCTCACCCTGACCGCCTTTGTCACTGCTCTGTCTGAGATAGAGACTCGCCAGCACACTATCGCTTAGTCGAGCGGTGTCGCGGCAGTCCCTATTTTTCAGGGTTGTGCTCCCTCCCAGTGCACATATGCTGACGTCTCAACCGCAGTTGCCATGATTGCCCTTGCCCCTGAGACAACAGCTGCGGTTTACCCATAGCACCGCCAGCGCCGGGGCCGCCGTGGCCCCAAGGGAGGGCGTGGTGATGGTGCTGGTGTGGTGGCGCTGGTGGTGGTGGTGGTGGCGGGGAGAGTGGTTATGACGAGAGTGGTACAGGAGCAGCACCAGTCGTCGCAGTCGCAGCGCAGCAGCAGCCATAGCAGCAGCAGCAGCAGCCCTGGGCTCGCCTCCCACCGGGTGGCCAGGAGCCCCTGGAGTTGGAGGCCGTGGTGGTGGCCCTTGCAGCTCGGCGTCCTCCGGCGGCTTCGGTTCTGTGAGCTGTCATTACCAGCTCCAGACCGGGACCCTTCGTGGCACTGTGTGCCGGCGCCCGCACCCGACCGCCCGTTGCTTCCGCCGTCTCGACGACCTCTTCTGTCACTGCTTCGGTCCAGCCCCGGACCTCTCTAACTGGCCCAGTGTGCTATGCCACAGTGTGCTTGCATTTGACTTAGTCATGGATCAGATTAGTTCTGCCTTGCATTCTCTGTATGCTAACGCTTCGAGAGTTTCCGGATCTTATTAACCTGTGTTCTCTAGCTTAGGCGTAGCTCCTGTGTGTAGTCCAGACTCCCCTGCTGCGTCAGGCGTAGGACCACTTGCCATGTCTAGCCTAGGCTCTACAATTGCTCCTCCTTCGTCTTCCATTAAGGCTTCGCTGTCCTTCACGCTTGACTCTGGTGCGTCAGCCTGCTTCTTGCGCGACCACGCCACCCTCACGCCACTTGCCGCGCCTGCCGCTGTCGCACTTGCTGACCCCTCCTCTGGTCCTGTGGTTGCTTGGAGCTGCACCACCCTTCCCTGCCCAGCGGTTCCCTCGGGTTCCCTTACAGGCCTGCTCATCCCTTTGTTCTCCAGGAACTTAGTTGGTGTCGGCTGTCTTCAGGACCTCGGCGTCACCACTACGTTCCCTGGTCACGAGCGGTACGCTGTCTGTACCGAGGCCGCCTCAGGTGCCCCCTAGCGACGTTCCCCCGGGACCCGGTGTCTGGCCTGTTTACGCTGGACACTGCTTCCCCCCAGGTGGGGCGTCCTCCCCAGGTCCTGTGGCAACCCAAGTCGCCGCTGCGTGCTCGTGTCCGTCGATCACTCACCCGTCGCTTCTGTGGCACCACCACCTAGGTCACTCCGAGCTCCCGCGTTTGCGTCACATGTCTCAGCACGATCTCGTCCTAGGCCTCCCTGCGTCGCTCCCTGCCCTCCCTCCCTTGCTTGCGTCGCTGTGCACGCCCAGCGTTGTGGGCCGGCTGCGCCATGCTCCTCACTCTTCGTCGCTTCGCCCTGCCACTGCACCCCTCCAGACCCTGCACTTGGACGTCTAGGGCCCAGCCCCCTTCCCTGGACCGCGTCGCGAGCGCTACTTTCTCATACTCGTCAACGACTCCACAGGTTACACCACTGTGTTTCCCCTGGAGTGGAAGGCCGACGTGCCTGACGTTCTTATCCCGTGGTTAGTAGCTGCGCGCCTCCACCGCAGTCTCCCTGTGCTGTGTCTCCACTCTGACTATGGCGGTGACTTCGTCTCTGGTCGGCTTGGTCAGTTCTGTCGTACGGAGGGCCTCGCCCAAATGTACACCCTGCCGGACTCCCGCAGCAGAATGGGGTCACTGAGCGACGCATCGGTCTGGTCATGGAGGTGGCTCATACCTCCATAATTCATATCGGTGCACCTACATTTTCTGTTGCCGTTCCCCGTTCACTATGCCGCTCACCAGCTTAACCTCTGGCCGCGCTCCATCGGCCGCAGGTTTCGCCGAACCTTCTTTGGACCGGGTTCCGTGGTGACGCGTCCGCGTTCCACGTCTGGGCTGCCTTGCTCATGTCCGTGCCTCCGGCGTAGACAAGCTCACTGCTCGCACTATCCCCTGTGTCTTCCTCGGCTTCCCCTTGACTCATCCTGCTGTCCCCCGTCTCGCCGAGACAAGCCACGATAGGAACCCCAGCCGAGGAGTCGGCTGACTCTGGTGGCCCCGCGGTGTAGTTTGCGCCGCTTGTCCTTCCCCAGGTGTCTCCTCCTCCCTCGTTGTCGTTGCCGCCGCAGCAGCCGCTGCCGCCGCCGCCGCCGCAGTAGCCGCTGCCGTCGCAGCAGCCGCATCTGTTCATGGACTCTGGGGGTGCTGGCATTGAGGAGGGTGCTAGTCCTGGGGTTCCTGTCGTGGCTTGTCTCGGCGGGCTCGGGGTGGCACCGATGCTGGAGAGGGTTCTCCCTCTGGGGTGCTTGTTCTGGGGGTGCTGGACTGGAGTGTTCCGGAGGTGACCGTGGTGCAGCTGGTGGTCCACGTATCGGTGTCGACAAGCAGCAGCCGCAGTCACCGCCGGTGTCCGCCCTTCGCCTGCTCGGCCTTCCCTCCCCTGACCGCTCTCTGGCGCCTCCTCCTCTTCCTGTCCACGGTCCTGTGTTTCCTCCGCCGGAATCGTCCCCGACCCGTTTCCCACCTCGTTCTCCTCTTGTTTCTCCTCCTCTGTCCGCTGGTACTTTCTCCTGCGCGAGCTACAGCAGCGTCGCTAGGCCCGCGTAGTACACTTGGTCTCCGGTGCCAATGCAGCTGATATCTTTACTAAGGCGCTTGCTGTTAAATTACATCTTTTGGTTATTTTATTTGTAGGCTTGGTAGGTGTCACTGAAACCTACTCTAGAGGGTACAACCCCCCTCCTTGTCTCCCTCTCTCTTCTATTTGCGACGCCTTTTCTCTCCTCAACTTTCCTAGCCTAAAACCTCTCGCCATTTCTATGGCTTCCTACCGTTCCTAGCTACCTTAGTTTAACGTTGTAATAGAGCAGGTTCCCCTTCCTGGGCCTGCTCCCCACACTTCTGCCGTGCACTCCTTCTCTCCCTCTCACGCTGCCCTGGTGGCCGCGTCGTGCTGTTGTGGCGGCGTCGTTGTACCGCTGGCCAGGCGGCCGCGCAACGCCTGTGGCGCCGTTAGACCTGCCGCCCGCTCGCCAGCTACGAGCGTGATTCTGGACCACGCCCCCCCCCCCCCCTCCTTCCCCTGCGTCCCCTCTTCCTTGCCACAGCCGTCGACTGCCTCGTACTGAGAAAATTCGTCGAGAATAGAAAAGAGAGGCATACAAAGAGGGGGTTGTACCCTCTACAGTTGGTTGCAATAACACCTACCAAGCCTACCAATTATATAACAAAATATATAATTTGACACCCCCTAAGCTTGGTAGTAACAAGCCCGCACACACCCATACCCCTAACCTAGCCCGCCCTTTCCCAGCAGCAGCCGTGATGACTCCGGAATTGGTCAACACCCACGGCCCGGAAGATGGCAATGGCGGCAGTCACGGCAGTGACGAGAGCGACGGCGGCGGCGGCATGCGGCGGGAACAGGCCAGCGGCAACAGCGGCGGCGGGTAGGTTAGGTCCACCCGCTCGCTTCCGCCCGCGCCCTAGCCTCCCCCACCCCACCTAGCCCCTCGCGCCCGCCCGGCCCTTAAGGCCCGCCCGGCCCGTCGTACTCGCCTGGCCCCGTCGCGCCCGCCTGGCCCCTCCGCGCCACCCTGGCCCCTAGCGCCCGCCCGGCCCGTAGCACCCGCCTGGCCCCTCCGCGCCACCCTGGCCCCTAGCCCCCCAGCCCGTAGCACCCGCTTGGCCCCGTCGCGCCCGCCTGGCCCTCCGCGCCACCCTGGCCCCTGGCGCCTGCCCGGCCCGTAGCACCCGCCTGGCCCCTCCTAGCGCTCGCCCGGCCCGCCTAGCGCCCGTGTGAGAGTACGACCCCGTTACACCACTTGGCCTTAACTTATTTCCTTCCTTTTTCATTTCTCTTTTATTCCATCTCATTTGGTTTCCTATTCTTCCTTTTCCATTAACCTTTGGTTTATCCTGCTATTATAATTATATCACCGACCAGGCTTGGGATGTACTGGTGCGCTCTATCTAGCGTAATCCTGCTGTAATCCCTTAAAGCCAATAGCCTCGCGTGGCTATACGCAGGGTGATTCTATCTTCTAGAAGGGTCTATTCCCTTAGGATAAGATAAACCTGGTTACCTGATGTACTCTGGAAGTATAAAAGCGCCTTGTACTGATCGATAGTGCAACCTTTCCTCGACACATTCGATCCTGTGACACTTGGTAATCAGAGCTTTTCTCACTCAGCCCGCGCTCAACAAAGCAGCAGCAGCGGGAAAACCTGCCTCGAAAAACCGCCGGGGCGACCAATTCGACGCCGATTCTGGTAAGCACCAGCTCCGCGATTTTCGAATTACCCCCTCCGTGCGTGTTTTGAACAGGATGGCAACCTTCGACAACACCGAGTTACCCAGCAGCTCTTCGCGCGCATCGCAGCCCTTCAGGAGGAAATGCGAGCGGATCGCGAAGCGTGGCGAAACGAGTTCGAGCGAGTAACTCGACTCGCCGGAGCGCAGCACGAACGACAACGGCGACGACGCAGCAGTCGCAGCAGTTTCTCGAGGCTCGAACCGCGCCCACCTGAGCCGTTCGATCCGAGCGATCGAAACTCCGACGCCCGCAAGATGGATCGCCGGGATGGAGATCTACTTCGCAGCCGTCAGATGGAGCTCGCCAGTCTGGGGACGGTCAACGTGTACGACTCGCGGCGACACTGATGCGAGGCCGGCACTCCGAGTGGATTGGCAGGCAACAGTACCTTCATCCACGGTGAAGCCACGTGGCAGCAGTTCCGCGCTGACCTGCTGAAACGCTTCGAGCCGATAAATTCCAGTTTCCTTGCCCAGGAAAAAATTCATCGACACGACAGTTCGGGAGTGTAGCGCAGTACACGCAGCAGATGGAGGAATTTTATAACCGCATTCCCGACCTGACCGAAGGGGAAAAAGTACAATCGTACCTCGCCGGGCTGAAGACCGAAGTCAAACGACAAGTCGCAGCGTCAAACTAACGCGAGCTACAGTGACGTCGTTTCGGCAGCGGAGCGCTTCGACATGGTCAACGCCGGAACACGACGGACGCACGTCGGCAGTACGCGACAGGGCGACCCGCTCGGCTCACCCCACGTTCGCCGACCCGATGGAAGTCGACAGATTCGAGGGGCGGCCACGTCCGAAAAACACCAATTACACGTGTGATTTTTTGCGGGGTGTCGGGTCATCGGAATCTTCGACTGCAGCAAAATGAAAGTCGCACCACACCAGCAACAGTGGCGGAATTCCTTCAGCCAATCAGAAGCCAAAAAACGGGAGTCGCCAGGTGATTGCGGATCTAGCTGGCGAAAATAAAAAGATCCGAAAGCGGCTGCGGGATTCCGGGAAAATCAACTTCGACAAAGCTGATTCGACGCGAGAAGGAGGAAATGATGGGGGAAAATCTCCACCCCACGACCAGTTTCGCCAGGGAAAATCGCCGAGGAAAAATACGACTCCGCGAAAAAAGACTCTGCCGAGACGGGGAAACTCCTTGAAGACCCAAGAAATTATAAGAATTCGTTAAAGTTATCTTATAAAGATGCTTTAATGAAACTTATGATTTCGAGGGGCTAGAGCCTTGGAGAAAATTCGGGAGGGACTCCAAAAGAAGCAGACAGCTGTGGAGATTATACCGGTACCGGACAACTTGGGGAAAAAATTAAGGAGTGTGGAAAGAAGCCGACCTTTCCACGGAGTCAACGTCCTCTCCCCGACACCAGCCCACAACGACTACCCGTTCCCCAGGGAAGACGTCGGTGGAGCTGAAGCAGCTCAAGAGGAAAGCTGGGGGTCTATAAGAAGCTGCACAAACCCCAAACCCTCCTCCGGATGCATCCAGTTCTTCGGCATCAGTAACGCGCACAGTCGTCAGGGAAACTCCGGTCCCTGGAGAAGAGCCGTTCTCCAAGCAGCCTGGCCAGCTGCCAGCTCAGGAGTAGAAAGCAACACAAAGGTGTGTACGGAATATTGGGATGTACCCTATGACCCAATCAATGAAACATCTTGGGTACTCCGGAGCAACGCTGCCCCTCGTGCTCGAGGTCATCTGCAAAGGACGACGCCTCCAAGCACTGTGGACAGCGGAGCATCACACACCGTCTGCGACAAGCAGTAATCGACGACTTCGGGAAGAGTACAAGCCTTCAGGATTCCTGCAACGATGGTGGACGGCAGCAAGTTACCAGTACACCGGCGAAGCAGTGGCTACACCTACAAATCGGACCACTGCGCTGGAGACCTGCACTTCCCATCACCAACATCAAAGGGCTTGACTTGATCTTCGGGCGAGACTTCCTAAAAAGATTCAACCCCCGAGATCAACTGGGTGAACCGCACCGGCAAGCATCTACAACAATGGACGGAGAGTACAGCTCCCAACTGGGACGATACAGGAGATATCCCAGTGGAGACACTCGCACGATTCGAGAAGGACGTGAAGCAAACGACACCAGGGTTCCTGGCAATAGCAACAGAGGGGAGAACGACAGGAGAGAAACCTCGGAACCTCCAGGAAAAATCAAGGAATTATTGAAGGATTCCAAGATATTCTCCGGACGATCTTCCGAAGAGCTACCGCATACCGAACGCATCAACACGAGATCGTGGAGGAACCGGGTTCGAAAGCCGACCTTCCGAGCACCATATCGGCTCAGCCCTACGGAGCTGACCGACATGAAAAAACAATCGAGTATCTCCTAGCCAAAGGACTCATCCGACCATCCACTTCGCCGTACGGTGCCCCAGTACTCTTCACACCGAAACCGGACGGAAGCCTGCGCATGTGCATCGACTACCGAGCTCTTAACAAGCAACCATCAAGAATAAATATCCGATACCGCGAATTGATGACATGCTTGACCAGCTTCGGGGACTACGGTATTTTCCAAACTGGATCTGCGGTCCGGATACTGGCAGATACGCATGGCGGACAACTCTATCCACAAAACTGCTTTACGAACTCGGTATGGATCGTACGAGTATTTGGTAATGCCATTCGGACTCACCAACGCACCGGCAACGTTCCAAGCCGAAATGAACCACATTCTACGACCACTTTTGGACGAGTGCGTGGTGGTGTACCTGGACGACATACTCATCTACTCGCGCGACATGAAGCAGCACGAGACACCTGCGACGCGTCTTCGAAATTCTTCGACGAGAACGATTCTACGTCAAACTGTCCAAGAGCGAATTCGCCCTTGAAAAGGTCCAGTTCCTAGGACACATGGTGAGCGCTCAAGGAGTTCACGTCGACCCCAAGAAAATCGAGGCCGTACGCACGTGGAAGACACCCGAGAACGTGAAGGAGTTGCAGCAGTTCCTAGGCTTCGCTAATTACTACAACAGGTTCGTGCCACAGTATCGAAAATCGCAGCACCACTCACGAATCTGCTGAAGAAGAACACGCCCTACAAATGGGAGCCGAAGCACCAGGAAGCCATAGAGCAGCTGAAGCAAGCACGGACGTCCGCACCGGTACTCATTTTGCCAGATCCCGAACCCGACTACGTCATCGAAGCTGACGCCAGTGACCAAGCAGTGGGAGCAGTCTTGATGCAAGATCAAGGGAATGGACTGCAACCAATCGCTTACCTAAGTAAGAAACTACACGGGGCCAGAACTCAACTACCCGATACACGACAAGGAGCCCTGGCTATCATCATCGCCCTTCAAAGCGTGGAGATGCTATCTCGAAGGACGAAGAACAACCGTCTACACTGACCACTGCAGCCTGAAATACTTGAAGACACAACCCAACCTTTCCAGGCGCAGGTCAGGTGGATCGACTTCCTCGAGACACACTTCCACTACGACATCGTGTACAAGCACCGGTCACAAGAACAAAGCAGACGCTCTCAGCCGGCCTGCACACGTTGCCGCTATTCAGGTCGAAGGGATGAACCCACTACTCAAGGGACTCTTCACACACGGGTACGCCACCGACCCCCGAAATTCCCCTTGGCAGAAAAGTGACATCTGCTACAGTGGGACAGTGACATCGCGTACCGGAAAGGATCAACGAAAATCTGGGTACCCAATTACCCTCATTTGCGCCAATTACTACTCGAAGAATACCACGACGTCCTCTACGCCGGACACTTCGGTAGCAACAAGACGCTGACCGGTATCGCAAAGCACTACTACTGGCCCCACTTAGCAGAAGATGTCCTGAAATTCGTCACCTCGTATGATACATGTCAGCGGATGAAGAGCAGCAAGCAGAAAAGGCGGGACTACTGCAGCCTCTTCCTGTCCCAGAACAACCCTGGCAAGTGGTTAGCCTGGACTTCATCACCGGGTTACCACCTACCTCCAGCGGTCATGACGCCATCCTTGTCGTCATTGACAAGTTCTCCAAAATGGGACACTTCATCCCGACACACACGACGACACGCACGGAAGAAACAACACAACTCTTCGTTCGATACATCATCTCACAGCATGGCATTCCAACCACACTCATCTTCCGACCGAGACCCTAAGTTCACCAGCAAGTTCTGGAAGGAACTTATGTCTCTCCTCGGGACCAAACTCGCCATGTCATCTGCTTACCATCCACAGACGACGGACAGACGAGCGCCTCAACCAAATTGTTGAGCAACTCCTCCGAGCAGCCTGCAAGGACGAGATCTCCAAATGGGACTTGCACCTGCCCGTACTAGAGTTTGCTTACAACATTGCTACACATGCCGCTACTGGACAGACGCCGTTCTTCCTCTGCTACGGACGCCACCCACTCACACCACAAAACCGACAGCATCAGCTACAGTCCAACCAGCACATGATTTCATCACAACCATGCATCAGCTTTGGGATCGGACCCACAAGCGCCTACTCGACATTCAACAGCAACAGAAGCGCCAAGCCGATCGCCATCGCAACGATCACACCATCACGGTGGGAGACCAGGTGCTTCTTGACACCCGCAACCTGGACATCAGCCATCTCCCATCTAAAATTCGACCTCGCTTCTGCGGGCCTTTTCTTGTTGAAGCACAGGTCACTCCTGTTACCTTCCGCTTACGCCTGCCAGCTACCTGGAAGATTCACAACGCCTTCACGTCCAACTTCTGAAGCCCTATCGGGACCGAACACGATTTTCGTCGGACGCCAACCGCGCGCCACCGCCCGTCCGTCCAGAATGAACCCGAGTACGAGGTCGAGTCCGTGCTCGCACCCTGCCGTCGTCGGAATGGCACCGTGGAGCTTCTCATCCCGTTGGAAGGGTTATGATCCTTTGAGGACAGTTGGGTACCTGAGTCCGACATGGGTAACGCCCGTCGTCCTCTGCATGACAACCTTGTCAAGCAGGGTGTTACTTCTACCACCCAGCTTTGAGGGGGGAAGTGTGAGAGTACGACCCCATTACACCACTTGGCCTTTTCTTATTTCCTTCCTTTTTCATTCTCTTTTATTCCATCTCATTTGGTTTCCTATTCTTCCTTTTCCATTAACCTTTGGTTTATCCTGCTATTATAATTATATCACCGATCAGGCTTGGGATGTACTGGTGCGCTTATCTAGCGTAATCTTGCGTAATCCCTTAAAGCCAATAGCCTCGCGTGGCTATACGCAGGGTGATTCTATCTTCTAGAAGGGTCTATTCCCTAGGATAAGATAAACCTGGTTACCTGATGTACTCTGGAAGTATAAAAGCGCCCTGTACTGATCGATAGTGCAACCTTTCCTCGACACATTCGATCTTGTGACAACCCGCCTGGCCCCTCCTAGCACCTGCCCGGCCCCTCCTAGCGCCCGCCAGGCCCCTCCTAGCGCCGCCCGGCCAGTTGCGCCCGCCCGTCCCACAGCACCCGCCCAGCCCCTCCTAGCGTCCGCCCGGCCCCTCCTAGCACTGCCTGGCCCTCCTAGCGCCAGCCCAGCCCCTCCTAGCGCCCGCCCGGCCCCTCCTACCGCCAGCCCGGCCAGCCCCTCCTATCGCCCGCCCGGCCACTCCTAGCGCCTGCCCAGCCCTCCTAGCGCCAGCCCGGCCCCGACACGCCTGCCCAGCTCCTACGGCCCGCAGCTCCTAGTGCACGCCCGGCTCCTGTGGCAACGTGTCTTCTGCTTGCCCAGCGCTGGAGCGTCTTGCAGCCGCCCTCATGGAGCTGTGCTGCTGTGTCCCTGTGCCACTGTGTCTTGTGGAGCTGTGCCGCTGTGTCCCTATATCCCTAACCCTGCATGATGGCTGACTTCGTCCTCCGCCTGGACGCTGAGGGCCACGCGGTTGACTTCGCTGCCTGGCTGTCCGACCTCCGCCGTCAACTCACAGGTCAGCGCCAGGATGGGCACTCCTTGGTTGTCCATGCTGATGGCTTGCTCCCCCGCCCCCTGAGCCTGCTCCCCTCCCTGCCAATCCTACCTCTGCTGAGCGTGAGACTATCTCTACTGCTGCACTTGCCTATGCCGTCTGGGACTCCCGCGATACAGTTGCTCAGGTCGCTATCAGTCACGCCCACCCTGTGTCTGAGCGTTCGCATTTCGCTACAGTTGATATAGCCAAGGCTTACTTAGATGCCTGTTGTTGCTCGCTATTCCACGCCTGCCTCCGCTACTGCAGGCCGCCTGCTCTTCCCTATGCTTTTCCCAGACATTGCTTCCTTCCCTAACTGTTGCTGACCTTGCCACTCACCTGCGAGCCCTAGAGTCTCGCTACCGCCCACTGCTAGCACTGCTGCCCAGCTCACTCCACTTCCCCCCCCCCCCCCTTCTGCATGACCCTCTACTTTATCGCTATGCGCCTGCCTGACCGCCTTGCTAGTGCACGCGACCACATCCTTAGCCAGCACCCTGGTGATCTCACCCTGACAGCCTTTGTCACCGCCCTAACCGAGATCGAGACTCGCCAGCGCACTATCGCTCAGTCAAGTGGTGCGCCGGCAGTCTCTATCTTTCACGGTTGTGCCCCCTCCCAGTGCACGTTTACTGACGTTTCGGCTGCGGTCGCCACTATGACCCCTCTGACCGAGACCGCAGCTGCGGTCCACCCGCAGCAGCGACCGCGCAGCGCTGGCCGTGGCCGCCAGGGAGGGCGTGGTGGTGGAGCTGGTGGTGGTGGTGGTGACGGGGACAGTGGTTCTACTGAGGGGACTGCCCCAGCTAGTCAGGAGTCGCATCCATCACCCCAGCAGCAGGAGCAGCCGCAGCAGCCGTTGCAGCAGTTGCAATCGCTGCAGCAGCTGTCTCAGCCCCCGCCATGGGCTCGTCTCCCGCCGGGTTGGCCCGGCACCTCTGTAGGTGGTGGCCGTGGTGGCGGCCCGTGCGGCTTGGCGTCTACCGACAGCTCCGTTGGTGTGACCTGCCAGTACCAGCTTCAGACCGGGCCTCTCCGCGGCACTCTGTACCGCCGCCTGCACTCGACTGCCCGCTGTTTCCACCGCCTCGACGATCTCTTTCGTCGTTGCTTTGGCCCAGCCACGGACCTCCCCGACTGGCACAGCCTGCTTCGCCAGGGCATGCCGATCTTTGAGTTAGATATGGATCAGATAGGTGCTGCTTTGCATGCCTTGTATGCGACGCTTCTAGTGTTTGCTGGATCTTATTACCCTGTGTACTCTAGTTTAGGTGTAGCACCCTTGTGTAGCTTAGCCTCCCCTGCTGCGTCAGGCGTAGGACTGCCTACTTTGACTAGCCTCGTTCCTGCACCGGCCTCGTTCCCGGCCTCTGCTACTGCCTCGCTGTCCTTCACTCTCGACTCCGGTGCTTCTACTTGTTTCTTCCGTGATCGCTCCACGCTCACGCCGCTTGCCGCGCCTGCTGTTGTCGCTCTCGCTGACCCCTCTGCGGGTCCTGTCGTCGCTCGCAGCTCCACTTCCCTTCCTGTCCAGCCGTTCCATCGGGCTCCCTTACAGGCCTCCACGTTCCCTCGTTCTCCAGGAACCTGGTTGGTGTCGGCTGTGTTCAGGACCTCCGCATCACCACTACGTTCCCTGGGCACGAGCGGTTTGGTGTCTGTACCGAGGCTGTCTCAGGTTCCCCCCTTGCAACGTTCCCCCGGGACCCAGTGTCTGGTCTGTTTACCCTCGACACCGCTTCCCCCCCCGGTTGGTGCGTCCTCCCAGGTCGCTGCAGCTTGCTCGTGTCGGTCCCTCACTCACCCGTCAGACCCTGCACCTGGACATTTGGGGCCAGCCCCCATCCCCGGACCGCGCGGTGAGCGCTACTTTCTTGTGCTCGTCGACGACTACACGCGCTACACCACGGTGCTTCCCCTGGAGCGGAAGGCCGACGTGCCCGACGTTCTTCTCCCGTGGGTTGTGGCTGCGCGTCTTCACCGTGGTCTCCCAGTGCTGTGCCTCCACTCTGACTGTGGCGGCGAGTTCCCCTCTCTCGTGCGGAGGGCATCACGCAGTCGTACACCTTGCCGGACTCCCCACAGCAGAATGGGGTTGCTGAGCGCCGCATCGGCTTGGTCATGGAGGTTTGCTCGCACCTCCATGATTCATGCCGATGCCCACCATTTTCTGTGGCCGTTCACTGTTCGCTACGCTGCTCACCAGCTTAACTTGTGGCCACGCTCCCAACGGCCGCAGGTTTCGCCGACCCTCCTTAGGACCGTGTCCCCCGGTGACGCGTCTGCATTCCACGTCTGGGGCTGCCTTGCTCCCGTTCGTGCCTCTGGCACGGACAAGCTCACCGCCCGCACGGTCCCCTGTGTCTTCCTCAGTTTCCCACTGGACTCCTCTAACTGGCTCATCTGCCACCCAGCAGTCGCAGCAGCCGCCGCAGCCGTCGCCGCCGGTCTTCGCTCTTCGAATGCTCGGCCTTCCCTCCCCTCATCGCTCGCCGGTGTCTCCCCCACCACCTTCTCCCCTTCCTGTCTACGGCCCTGTGTTCCCGCCCCCGGACTCTTCTCCGGCCAGTCTTCCTCCTCGTTCCCATTTTGTGTCACCTCCGCTGTCTCCTGACCCTACACATCCGTCCCACGTTTGGTCTCGGCGTCCCTCATGTGCTCGTCCCGTCTCCCCTGTCCTGCGCTCCCACCCTATGTTGCTCCGTTCTCACTCGTCTCGTCCTCCCCTCCTCCTCTCGCCTCCTCCCTCGTCGCTTGTTGTTGCACCTCCCCCTCTGTCTGACTACCTCTGTGCCGCTCGTCCCCTTGTCCCGCGGGTCCTTGCCTCTCTTCTTAGAGACCCGTCTGTTCCTGTCTCGTGCCTTGACGCGCTTGTCGCTGCTGTCGCTGACTTCGCCTCTACCCGTCGCCTTGACTACACTACCGCTCTGGTCTCTGGCTCTGCCCGTCCTCCGTCCGTCAGGGGTGCACCTGTTCTTGGCAGTGACATTCTAAAGGGCATGCAGTACGAGCTTGCTTTCCTCTCCGAGGCCGCTCCCCATCTCTGCTCCATGCTCCTAGTCCCAGAGGGTGACCCAGACGCCTTCGACATCCCGACCCCTCGCACCTACGCTGAGGCGACCTCGGGACCCTGGGCCTCTCAGTGGATAGCTGCCATGGAGCATGAGATGGCATCTTGGAGGTCCACCGGCACTTACGTCAACACAGTTCCCCCTCCTGGGGTGAACGTAGTCGATGGTCGGTGGCTCTTCAAGGTGAAGCGGCCCCCTGAAGAGCCGCCTGTCTTCAAGGCGCGCTACGTGGCAAGAGGCTTCAGCCAGCGTGAGGGGGTGGACT